ACGGACCGTTGAGTGGAGCAAAATACACTAAGAGTTCGACCTAACACACTTAGCTAGTTTATATACTCTGGAACAAGCTAAACTAGTTATAGGCCTACATATATTTATTCTTTACTGTCGGGTCACTCATTACAGGTTCAGCGAGCTGCACGAGACTGACGGGCTGTCAGGAGAGGGAGAGGAAAAGAGAGCACCCCGTTTACTTTTCCCATTTTATTATCCAGAATTACTGTAAACCTTTGAATAAAGTAGTTAATCTAGCCTACTATTAGTAGTTTGTTTGAATGCATTAATTATGTTTTGTTTTTTTCATTAACATAAAATAAATCTCACGTACCCCCTACAGTACTCCAACGTACCCCTAGGGGTCCGCGTACCCCCATTTGAGAACCACTGTGTTAAACAAAGCAGTCTATTCTGTCTGACACTATTTGACACAATTTTCATATTTTTGGAGTAATAATAAAGTTTTTGACTAACAGAAATATCGTTTTCTGTCATCACTTTAACATTTTCCAGGGAAATTTGGCATCTTGGTATGAGGGCGCACGCCTTAAGTTAAGCGGTTTAGACAAAACCCTGCATATTAAAAACAATACAACTACTTAATGACAATTAAAACAGTTGGACCTGTCTGCGTTTGTTCGGGGCGACACGACAAGTCTTGTCATCAGAGAGAATGTAAAAACAAATACAGTGGGGCCTAATGTTCCACAGAAAGCAGTACAGCTTGATCCTTGAGTATCTAAACTCATAAGCTTAATGCAGCTCCTTTCTGCTGAAGATAAACTGTTCATTAAACCACACAGGACTAACGGCACACACTTGACTGGAATACATAAGTGTTTTCAGAGTACAGCACAACGAGCAGAAGGTCAGGGGTGCACGAGATGATTATCAGACGTAATTACAGCACATTTAATCTGCCAGGCGACGGAAAGCACAAAGACTGACTGGAAATAACAAACTGTATACAATATGTCCCGTTGTGTGGTACGTTTAGTCCCATCTAACCACATGGCTGACCCGACACTTTAATGGAGTCAGCGTTGATGCGTGCATAATGAACACTGATCGGTTAAAGTTACATTAATGTCCTTTTAGTTTATGCAAAGAAATGTGACTCGCTGCCCTTTCCTAATGGACCGCGAGCCTATTTCTGACGCAAAATACAGACAAATGGAAAAGCTTTTCCTCTCGCTGTGCTTTAACTTTTTACGTTTTCTAGTTTGTTTAAAGCCTCAGTATGTCAAACAAAGTCTAAATCAAACACATTTCATCTCTGTGTCTCAACAGGAGAACTCACAGCAGGAACACGGACACATCACTCAGCTTCTGTCCTCACAATTACAGAGCAAACAACGTACAGACGAGAACATTTGCTTCATTTTTAAGACGATAACCTCAGTGCTGATTAGATAAAAGCAAATTGATTCGATCTAAAGCTGACATGACGGCAACAGAATGTGACAGGAAGGATATATGGTTATTGATGAGACTGTAGCATCAAGCTGTGAGCGGTAGGGCTGCTACCATTCATTTCATTATTGCTTCATCTGCCTTTTACTTTCCAGTCAAATTGATTAGTCTATAAAACATCGGAATATCGTTTTTAAAAAGTCTTTCCGGTTTGCCAAAGTCCACGGTCATGACTTTACATGTGATATTTTGTCCGTTTAACACATAATTATAGTCACTTTATTTGATTTAAGGAGAAAAATGATGTTTGAGAGCCTGAAAAAAGCATTTTCTGCAGGTTTTGGTTAAAAAAAATAAAAAAACTTATCGAAAAAGACGCAATTATTTTTGACGAATGACTTAGCAATTAGTTCAGTACAGTTCTCATGATGAGGCCAATAATATACATTTTAAGGAGTATCCCATTTTAAAATTGCAATATTTTTGTGCACAGACTTGTTTTATCAACTGGCACCATGTAAAACAAGCAGCTGCATTAAAACTACCAAAACTAAACTAGACAACACATTTCAGTTCATTTTTTTTATTTCAAGATATAGAAATAATCAACACTGGATTTTCAACACATTTCCCACTGTCTAGACCTGGAGCAATTAAGTCAGAAAGCAATTTGACAGGACAAAACATCTGTCATTGCAGTGTTCAACTAATGGTGTAGAGTACAGCAAATTGCTTTCCTTTGTGACACAAACACGGTGACAGAACTAAGCAACGAAGCCAACTCATTTTCTCTGAACTGGGCACTCTGTCAAAGTAAATGGGTTTTTTCAAACATGTGACGACTCATTAAAAGCTTATAAAACACATGCTTGATGCCATTAAAAGGATTTTAAAAAAGAACTGTCGGAAACCACAGGATCCTTTTAATACCTGTGGACTCGGGAGTCACTTAATTGGCTTTTTTTATTTAAGCCTTTCCGCAACCAACTTATCCATCTTCAAAACGCTAGAAAAACATTGTCTTGCCATCATAAGAGCTCTGTGGTTAACGGTTTACAATAAACTCTACGTGTTAAAGTCAAAATGTAATGAAAAATACACTAATGTGCAATATTGTACTCATTGGCATGTACAATTTTAATCTAAAGCCCCCTATGTTTCTTCCAATGCAATCAAAAAAAAGCATTGCAACCTAATGAAAGAACAAGTTCCGAATCTGCTGCATCACAGACATCAATGTTGAACACCTGAACTTTTGAAAGAACATCCATAACATTCATCCGTTTGCAACTCATATATATATATATATATACTCAATTACTTGTATATAGACTATTCTGCACTATTTCTATTATATTCTTTTTTATTGTATCGGTTATATTGTGTTGCACTGTTGGAGGAGCCTGTGATCCAAGATTTTCATTGTCATAACTACACTGTAGCTATGCACACATGACAATAAACGCCTTGAATTAAGGGAAGCCCACTCACGCTGTATGTGAATTAGCTGCTTTGGCATCTTGAACTCCCCGGGGTAGAGGGATTCGTAGTACGTGATGTCGCTCTCCGCCTCGGGCACCGGGATGTGCATGTTGTCCCGCTTCTCTCCATAAACCTGCTGCGCCGAGATGGCCCGCTGGAGATGGTGTTCCTGCAGAGAGAGAAAAGTGGAGGTGAGACGCCTGGACCACTGAGGGGTTAGGATGGGGAGCGAAACTGGCATTAAAAGGTCTCCTATTATACTGTATTTCATCAATATATTACAGGTCTCAGATATATACAGAACCTGTCTCTGAAGTGTTTGGCTCCAAACAGATCATTGCAGCATTACCCATAATCCCCTCTGTTTCAGCCCTGTTTCCAAAGTGCTGATTCTCTGTCTGTTACTTTAGATGAAAATAAGGAGCCCCTCCCCACGCCCCTCTGAGAGATATTTGGTTAGAAAGAACTCAATGGTGCTCGAGGAGGAGATTCAGGTGATAATGTGTGTGGGGGGGGGGGTTACATTGGTTGCTGATTGGCTAATGGTCACACAAGCCAAAACATCATTATGACATCATAAAGTGGCCAAAATCTGATCAGCTCATTTTCAGACAGGTTTTTATAGAAATGGATCAGGACAAAAAGAGAGAGAATCTTTTGTTCCTGAAA